CAAACAACATCAATTGTATGTGTTCCTCAGCCTTCACACTGAATTGTAATCTTAATGGTAGTTTCTTAATCTTCACTTCTTTTTAATCTGTATTAAATTCTTGCTGAATGTTGGAAAGTGTATAAGATAATCAGTAAAGTTAGGCCTGGTCTCTAACCTGAGCGAGTCTCGACCTCCCTTCAAATCAATCATCCCATCTGCAGTTCCTTTTCCCTGTGTGTCCGATCAGAGGGCTTTGGGAACATTTTCAGGTGGGTGAGACACCAAACTCTACAGTGATTGTTACAAGATGTTAGAATTTGATGTTATTGTTCTCCTTATTTCTTAGTAGTTTTAAAATTTTCAGAGAAGAAAAGAAGATTCTAAAAGCTTAAAAAGAAGCTACTAAGCCTTGTGTTTGCCAGGCTCAGCAGTCCCCACTTTCCACGTAGCTTTAGAGCAAAGCGGGCCAGGAAAGGAACAAGTGAACACATAAGGCACTGGAAGGGGATATGACAAATCCAAACCCAAGTCTCCTCTAGAAATAATTTTTCAGAGAGCAAAAGCAGATGGTTCAATTGAGACCTCATGTTACCTTGGTCTGAGGCTTCCAGAAAGCAAATTGACCTATAAATCTCCAAATCCCAGAGATGCGGTGACAAAGATCCCAACATTGGTGGTGTTCCAAGTCTTTCATCCAAGAGCTCCAAGATGTAGCTCAAAGTTCACATAGTCCATGCCTCGCTCCCCACCTCTACCTCCAGCACAGCACCCTGAGGGGCCTTTCACATACCAATTGCTCCAAATGCATTATGAGTATCCGAAGCATGAGAATAACCCCTCTGCAGTTTACACACCTCACTCCTAGCCACTCTCTCAGTTCAGCCTCATATGTAGACTTCTTCATCTCCTCCAACTTATGCACAATGGAACAGAGGCCCAAAGAGGTGAAATGTTGCCTCAGGTCACCCAGCCAGTGAGCAGATTCTTCAAGGCCCAAGTTTCTGCAACCCCACCCAGCAAATGTACCATAGCCCCAAGCTACAGTCTCCCTGCCCAGAAAGCAGGGTGGTGGATGTGGGCACTGAGGCCAACACTGTCAGTGGCCTGTTGTAGATCAAACAGAAAATTGTGCCTAGGAAAACCGAGGTGCTTACCTGAACTGTGAAGGTATCCAGAGGCACGCAGCTGAGAAGACGTGATGGCCTGAGTATCACAGCTCAGGCACAGCTGGTAAGAGGCGTTCCTTGCTCACAGGCCCTCACCCACCCCAGAGACAGTGAGCACCAGCCTGACCACTTCCCCTTTCTGGTCTGTCCTTAGGGGAGAGTCCCAGGCGTCACCACCAGCCAACCACTCCCTTTTCCAGGGAAGCTGACTACCCTAGGCTTCAAGAAGCCAGAATCTTTTCACCCTCCTTGTGGCTCCCACAGGGCCCACCAGAGAACCAATATGGTGTGGGATGGGCATTGGGAGGGGTCAGGCTCCAGGGTGGAGGTGGAGTATGGGTGGGAGAGGTATCTCCAAAGATGAGTCTGCCTCAAGCTTCCCTGGATGTGGTGGCCTGGAACTCAAGAAGAGCCATAGAAACCCGACTCCCACACAGAGACAGTTTTGGGTAAGAAACTAGCTCATGTGTGACAAACACACCATTTCACAATGACCCCTGAGAGCCTTGGAACTGCTGACCCCACTTCTACTTGAAGGAAGCAAAGTAAGATCTTCCAGTTTCTATGGGTGTGTGAGAAGCTGTCAAGATAGACATGTGTCCACTGGACCATTTTGACTGAATCAGGTCCATCCCTGAAACACTGTGAGACAAAATTCCCAGCAAGGTTCATAGCTTTTGCAAATGGAGGCTGAGGGTAAACAAGTTATCCATTTTGTTGAGTTGGCTGATTCCAATTTTTTTTTTTTTTTTTTTTTGAGACAGAGCCTCAAGCTGTCCCCCTGGGCAGAGTGCCGTGGCATTACAACTCACAGCAACCTCCAACTCCTGGGCTCAAGCGAGTCTCCTGCCTCCGCCTCCCAAGTAGCTGGGACCACAGGCGCCCGCCACAACGCCCTGCTATTTTTTGGTTGCAGCCATCATTGTTGTTTGGCGGGTCCGGGCTGGGGATTCGAACCCGCCACCTTAGGTGTACGTGGCTGGCGCCTTAGCTGGTTGAGCTATAGGCGCCAAGCCGCTGGTTCCAATTTTAATGAGCAAGTCACATCAGCAAGAATAGGCAAACTGACGTGCATTGTGTCTAACTGCAGTGAATGAGTTATTTTTGCTCTCAGTAGTAATAATGGTAACCTAGAATGTTAGGGAAATGTTTAAATTCAGCTCCAAAGATTCCTAATTTGTAGTGTTTGCTAATTTTCATGATGTAAATACCCTCATTCATCATGAGCAAGAGCAACACTGGACTTGGAATTGGGAGATGTGCACAATCACTTGGCTTCCATGGGCCCAAGCAGGCCAGTTCCAGAACACCACTAAATTGATAAATCCCATTATTGAGCATCTGCTTGGGACTAGCTGGAACCAGTATTTTTCATCCCTTATCTCTCCTCATCTTCACTTATCTGGAAGATTATTCTCTCCATTTTACAGGTGAGAACATCAAAGCTCAGGGAAGTAACATCATTGAATCAAGTTTATACAGCTAAGGAGAGGATTTTAGACCCAAGTCTGTCAACCTGCAAAGCCTGTACTCTTTCTCATTATGCCCATTCTAAGTTTAGCTGCTCAAAAACCATCCTAAAAGCAAATTAAAATTGTCTTCTGAGAAGTAAAAAAATGCTTCTGTGGGTAGATCTTATCTCAGGCTAAGAAAGTGGCGACTCCTTGGTTTGCATTTCATTCATTCAATAAATGATTTTGCTAACCCATTGGAATCCCCAGTGCAGCTGTGATATGTGAATTCTGTAGACCTACTGTTTCCGATGACGCATTTTGTATAGCAAGTCCAAGCCTGCAGTGTCAGGAGATCAGAATTCCAGGCCCAGTTTGCCAACAACTTCATTTGTGAACCTTTCCCTTCTCTGAGCCTCAGGTTCCTTGTTTGTAAAATGAAAGAGTTCAATTGTTAAATAGTAAGGTGCTCCCAGGATTCTCTATATCTCAACAAAACAGAGGGATTTCAAACAAACAAAATTATGATATGTATTTAAGTTGTATAACATGGAGATTTGATGAACATATCCATTGTGAAATGATCATTACAATCAAGCTAATTAACATAGCCATCACTTCACATAGTTACCTTTGTTGTCTTTTGTGCTGAGACTACCTAAGACTTACTCTTTTAGCAAATTTCAAGTATATATTATCAACTATACTCACTATGGTAAACACAGACTCTAGAACTGAAAGTTTGTATACCTCTCCATTTCCCTCAACCCCCACCCTCTGGCAACTACCATTCTAGTCTTTGTTTCCATGAGCTTCTTATTTTAAGATTTCCCTTATAAGTGAGACTATGCAGTATTTGTTTTTTGAGGAATGAGTCTGGCTTATTTGCACTTTGCACTTTGCAGAGTCTCACTGTTTCACCCTGAGTAGAGTGCTATGGCATTGTAGCTCACAGCAACCTCAAAAGCTTGGGCTCAAGTGATCCTCTTGCCTCAGTTTTTCATTTTTAGTAGAGATGGGGTTCTCACTCTTGGTCAGGCTGGTCTTGAACTCCTGAGCTCAAGCAATTTGCCCACCTTGGCCTTCCAGAGTGCTAGGACTGCAGGCATGAGCCACTATGCCTGGCCATGTGTGTTATTATAAATGTCAGGATTTCCTTCTTTTTTAAACTTAATAATACTCTCTCTATATAGTGTTCCATAAATCTTATAAGTTTTTAAAAAATTTTTTTTTCTCCCTTGACTAGATAATTTCACCTGTTGTCTTTGAGTTCACAAATTCTTTGTTCTGCTTGATCAGGTCTGCTGTTGAAGTGCTGTATTGCATTTTCATTGTATCTTCAGCTCCAGAATTTAAAAAATAACTTATATCTCTTTGTTGAATATCTTCTTTTGTTCATGTATTATTTTCTTGATTTTTGTTGAGTTATCTATCTGTATTCTCTTATAGTTTATTGAGCTACCTTAGAACAATTATTTTGAATCTTTTGTTAAGCACTTTATAGATTTCCATATCTTGGAGTCAATTACTACAAAATTATTCTGTTCCTTTGACAGTATTGCATTTCTTTGGTTTTCACATTCCATGAAGTCTTACATTGGTGTCCTTGTATTTGAAGCAGGCATTTTCTCTAGTCTTTTACTGGCTTTAGGAGAAAATCACCTTCACTAGTCAGCCAGGTTACAGATTCTGAGGCTCTTTCAAACCTTTTTATAGATGTACTGACTCCACTTCTCTTGTTCTTTCTTGGGGTGGGGGGATTCTTAAGATAATATTTCTTCTCTTGATACTGCAAAGCCAGGCCAGGTGCTATGCATCGCCTGTTTGCTTTCCCTAGGGAGGTGCCCTGACATGCTCATTTGTGTGCCTTCTCCCAATCCTGCAGAGTCAATCCAGCTGTGTGTGTTTACAAATCATATGCAAGACACACACTTGACATCCAGTGGGCACAAAAAGAGCCAACAAAGGGGTTGAGTTCAAGTAGCTTGTGGGTAGGCCTCATGAAGCAGTTAGAAAGATATAGGGCCCTTTATTGAGTTTCAAGCTTTGACTGCTATGAGTCCCTCACCCCTCTTCCTTGTTCTAAGAATCTCTCAGATACTTAGTCATGCTGATTCCCTCCATATTCTGGGTTGGACTTTTGGGCAGCATGTTGCACAGCGGGGAAGACAAGTGCTCACTCACTATGCTCTTATATTCTCCTGTAGGAGGAATTATGGGTTGAGAGAGCCTTTCTTGGCACTGATCTGTAGCACCTTGGGAGGAGTAATGTAGGTAAAGTGAATTTGATGTTTTACTCTCTTCAATGTGTCTATTTTTAAACTTTTTGCTCTAGTCACGTACTGGAACTTTGCCTTGAACTCCAGGACTCCTACAAGTACTCTAGTCCATAGATGAGTATCAAGACCAGTGCACTATGGAGGAGCTGAGATAATAGAAAACTCCTATTCTGCCCTCCCTTCTTCCTCTCTTCTGTTGGTGTCTGCACTCCCCAGATGGTAGACACCTGGAGGACTGAAAACCTTCTCAAGTCCTTCCTAAGTGGACAAACATAAACTGTTTTTCCTCTGCTCTCACATCACAATTGTCACAGAAGACTTTTGTGACCTGATGTGTGGGAATTTATCCCACAAACAAGCAAGCAAGCACTTCTGCAGTCGACACCAGCTGGGTGTCCTCCAATTCAATTCAGAGACTATCTACCTGGAGACACTGTTGGATCACACAGGTTGAAGGCTCAGTCTCACAAGACTGTCTCCTTCACTTCTAATACTAATCAGAAGCTGTGTTTCTGACTGACCAGTTTCTCAAATTTATTGAAGTTTCACAACTCACTTCTTGGGTTAGATTAATTTCATAGAGAGGCTCAAGGAAACATTTACTTACATTTACCAGTTTGTTATATTATAAAGGACACAGTTGAACAGATGCATAGGGTGAGGTATAAGAGGAAGGGCACAGAGCTTCCGTGCCTTCCATGGGTGTGCCACCCTGTATGAACCTCCATGTTTTTGGCTATTTGGGAGTTCTCTGAACCGTGCCCTTTGGAGTTTTTATGGAGGCTTTCTTACATATGCATAATTTGATTAAACCATTGCCATCAGTGATCAACTTAACCTTCAGTCCTCTCCCTTCCCCAGAGATTGGGGAATGGGGAGCTGAGAGTCCTGACCTACCTGGGTCTTTCCAGTGACCAGTCCCCATCCTGAAGCTACCTACGGGGCTGCCAGCCATCAGTCAACTCATTAGCCTACAAAACATCATTTTGAAGATGCTAGGACTTTAGGAATTGTATGCCAAGAAATGGAGACAAAAACCAAATATTTATTTTATAATATCACACCTCCCCAATCATGGCACCCAACAGTGTCCTGAATACAAGAGAAAATGCCTGATAGATACTTGCTGACTAAAAAAAGGTGAATTTTCCAGAGACAGAAGTGAGTTGTCTAAACAAAGGAAGCAACTTTATTCTGCCAAACTTGAGGGCCTACCTTGCCAGAGCCTGTGCTAGACAGTGCAAGGATTAAATAAAAGAATCATACCCAGCCCCTGCCCTCAAGAAAGCCCCTC